CCTACAGGCATGGGTTGAGGTTTTGGGTGAGGTTGGTAAGGTCTTCTAAAGTATACCATTGTACTTATGTTGCTTATCCTGACTACTTAAAGCTGGGTGCAATTGGGATTGAAATTTCTATATAACCTAGCTGTTCTACAAAGTAGCTGGTAGGGGGCAAACTGACAAATTAAAAGCATGTGTTTGAATTATAGCTTTATACTGAGGTGTTTCATATCTTTAGGAGAGCCCCTTATAGCTCTCAGTAGCTGTGAGTTAAGACTTAACAAGCATCCCTCATCTCTACCATTCTCTGTAGCGCAGTACTGGAAGTAGTTGTGAACTTTGCTCCATGTTTCATAATCACTTCTCATGGTGGTTTTACTTACAGAAACTTGAAAATGAGCGTGAGAACCTAGAGAGGCTGGATTCACCCCTGCCAACAGCGAGTAAGTGAGAGGCATTCATTCTAATGGCAGATATGATGTAGGAAAGGGTTAGTGATGTTCTCAAGAACAAGTTCCTCAGTAGGTCACAGCAGAAGGTACAGTCTTATTAAAAGTTGGATGGTGCCTATGCTTCTGCCTGCATGGTGGGGGAGCGTTTTGGTTAATCAGAGCTTGCTCCGTTTTTGCTTTGGTGGCAAAGATTTTATCTGTATGACACAAAAGAGACTCTCACCTTGAGTCAGTGCTGCTTGAGCTTGATCCAGGTGTTTAAATCTGCATGCTGCTGCTGTAGGGGACACAAGTTTCATATGCAAGCTCTGATGAGAACTTGCACAAAAATGTTAATAGATGCACATTATATTTTTTGTGTTTCTGCATTTTTTTTCTCTTGTTCATGCACATTTGAAAGCCACAAATGCAAAAGATCAACCAACCAAGTACAAAGGCAGAGCAAAGAATGTCCTCCTGCCTAGGTATCCTTTGGAGTCTCTCAGTTGTGGGTGATGATTAAATTGGTGCAAACTACTGGTTATTTCAGCTGTGTTAGCTCCTGCACTGTGAATGAGCCCCTTTGTCCAGTTGTATGCTTGGCACAGGTGATTCTGTATGTTCTTGAAAAGGAGCTGTTTTCAATTGCTCTGTGCCTCAGAGGAAAATGAGTAGAAAGAAATGCCTCTTATTATGCTGTGTTGCACCTTTGAATCTGAACTATGCAACTTTGTGTAGGCCACAAATAGGTTTTCACAAATAATTTTTAAAAACAAGCAATTCAAATAGTTTATGAATTAGATCATTACACTGAAAGAGCTATTCCTCCAAAGTATATTGATAACTTCCAAAAAAAAAAAACCCCCATATTTTATCGACTGTTAAAATGCTTCAGATTACTAGGAATCTTAAGGCACTGCACGTATGGGGTACTTTCGTGTGAGTATTGTTTAATGGAATGTTATTAGTCAGTGAAAAATCGTAACAGGTTTTGAAGGAGCTTGATAAAGGCAGAAGATCCGAACTCCTTTGTTTATTTGGTTTTAGTTGTCTCACAAGCTTTTATAAATAAATATCTAAACTTTGGTAATCTCATAAACGCGCCAGGATTCCTGCCCTCTCTTCCTGAACCAAGCTTAGAATCTAGTCTCCAATGTATTTATCTATTTTTTATTTTAATTTCAAAAGAGTTCAAAATCAGCCATATGTGGGAAGAATTGAAAAGGAGGCTGTTTCAGAACTAGAAAGTAACAGAGAAAAGCTGACATACAAAACAAGTTATTTTGATAAATCATGATGAACTTTCTTTAGATTTTGCACATAATCCTTTGTATGCACAGACCGTATCTAGAAAACTTCAGACTAAAATGAATTTTTAAGACAGAAGGTTAAAATGAGGCTTCATAGAGCAATCTTCAAGGAAGATACATTCTGTTTGTAGAGTTGCTGAACAGCAGTTTTTGTATGTGGTCCAAAGTCATTGCTCATTCATGGACTGGACAAGAAAAATAACCTAAAGTGTTTTTTTTGTTTGTTTGTTTGGGTTTTTTTTTTCTGGAAGAAACCAAGATATTTTAATGCCATGTTTTCCAGAATTAATCTCATAATATAGGTGTTAGAATAGCTCTGTACTTGTCGCTTTTTTATTTAAGAAGATAACGGATGCCCTTTTTCAGGGAACAGACGTGAGGATATCCTTCAAAATGCCCTAAGACGAAGGAAAGATCTCCTGCAGGAGCTTAGGGTAAGAGCCTTCTGTGTTGTTAGACTGCAGTTTAATGTGATGAACATAGTAGTAGGCTTTGAAAGATAAAATTGTTACCATAACAAAAGAAGTAGAGGAAAACTTCCTTCTGTTTAGAAGGAGAAATAAGTGCAACAAATGAGCAAACTTCGGAAGTTGCATGCCCTGCAAACCTCCTCTTGAGAAACAAGTAGCAATGTTGCCTTCCCTCTCCTCCATGCAAATCTACATAGTTCTTGGAGGCAGTTTGCTATAACAAGAAAGATTCTTCTGCTGTGGCTGGGACCTGCTGTGCAACTACTGCTGCTCACCCTAAATAGTGCCCCTGTCTGGACCTAGAAAGAGGAAGATCTCTGGGTAGAAAGAACAGAATACGGAAATACTGAAGAAGGAAAATTTCAAAGTCTGCATATCCACTATCCATGTGAATTCAGTTATTTTCTGTCATTTAATTCTTATGCTGAGCAGTATTCATCCTCTGCTCTGCTGATCTATGTAGGCTGGGCTTGGCTATCGGGGTGGGGAGGAAGAAGTCAGAAGAACGTGGGTTTTTTGTTTGATTGTTTTTGTTTTGTTTTCTTATTACCGTTAACAAGGCTTGCACTGACCTCAGTTGGTGTGTTGATTGTTTATCCTGAATGGCTGTGTCATAAGATCTTGGAATAGTGCCAAAATGCAAGGCTTGTGGGGATGATCAACCACTGATGAAATCTTTTCCCAGAATATCTGTCTTTTTTCCTACTTTTTTGTCCCTTTGGCTTATACTGATGATCATCTGTCTTTAAGGTATATGGGGAAAAAATGCCTTGTTTGTTTGTACTTTTTCCAATTCATACAAAATCAGCTCTGTCTGTTTTCCTACATGCAGAAGTCACTTGTATTCTGCTTGTTAATTCAGCAGTTGTGGGAGCTTCTGTAACAATGTTTTGGTGAGAAACTGTGCTCCTCTACGGTGTTGCAAGGACTAATCCCAGTTAGTGAGTGTAATTACATTGTCTTCCTTTCAGTTATGAAATTTTCCTTAAAAAGATGCTTGATCTTGCAGGAGCATCACCTTTTGGAAGAACTGTCACAGCCACCTGCGCCAGCTGGAGGATACTGCAAGAACAACAGAACCGATCCCCAGAGCCTGATCTACCAGTTGCCTTTTCCAGCTTCCCGAGTAGAGCCACCAAGGGTCATCCAGCAGACAGTAAGGATCCTCTCTTCTCCTTCCTAAGAAATATTTACTAGCACAGTACCTGTTAGATACAACTATAGCAAACAGACGGACTTGAATCTGTGTAGAAACACTCATCCCACCAAAGCGAATATATGCCTTGCTGTTGGATTGGACTGTCTAGATGTGGTTGAAGGGAAATCCTCTTCCACTTTAGAAATAAGGCACAAAGGTAACAAAATCAGTGGTTAACCATTGAAACAAGTTGCCAAGAGGGGTGGAACCATGGCTGGAAATGATTTTGGGGAACACTGGCTTTAGTCTGCTGCAAACTGTCAAGCTCTAGACAGGAAAGTGACTGGCATTTTCTGATTTGGTACACTTAGTAAGTCAGAATAGAGGATTTAAAAATCCTGTTTGGCCTTAAAAATATGAAAGTCATCAACGGACAAAAGACCAGTTCTAAGGCTCATGCTACTTGATAGTCTTGTCGTAGATAAATGATTTGTTTGAAGGTAGAAAACTGAGGGTAGGACTTGATAGACAGGTCTAGCAGCAGAGGGAGGTCTTCAGCGGAGCCTTGCTGTCCGGACAGGTAAGTGGTTTGGAAAAGAGAGCGAGCAGTTAATAAAGTTTACTGGTGGTATTAAATTAGTCAAACTAGTAAGAGTATAACCTTTGGAAAGATCTTATGAGCCTAAGTGAGTGACAGGGAAAAAGCTCATGGGTATTATTTGGAATGTGTATGTATAAAGTGATGCATAGGAGCAAAAAGTCACCTTCACTTCCAAAAAAAATGGGCTCTAAGCTCATCATAACCACGGAGAAGCAAGATCTTGAATGTATGATACAGATTTCCATTTAAAATATCATCTCAGTTTTCAGTAATGTGGTTTTTGCTTGTTTGCTTGTTTTTGTTTTAGTATTAGGTGTTGTATCGGGGGAAGGGAATGTAATTATGCTATTATGTGTAGTTTCAGTCCCTCTTTTGTAATCACTTCTTCTGAATAACTTGTGTTTGAAGGTTTCCATTTACTGTCTGTGGGGATAGATGCTGGGATTTGATTGTATTTATTTCTATGTCTCAATTTCCTTTTGAGACTTTTCCTTACTTCTAAGATGCTCTTAGACACAAAATACTTTTTTAGATTTGTAATTCAGTAGCTGAATAAGAGAAAGCATTGTGCTTTTTGGACAGTATGATACAGGCTGTATCGCTGCATCGTTGGCACTGATGTGTTCTGGCACCAGTAACTTAAATAACTTTCTATCTTTAAGCATTATATATCCAAGCAAGGCCTGCCAAATAATATCACCATTTTCAAAACTTGATCACTAGTCTTCAGTTGACAAGCATCATAGTGCTTTTGTTTTGGTAGGGTTTTTTTTGAGAAAGGCAGAAAGATTATTCTCTAATGAAAGAAATGTTATCCCAGTTATTAGTATACAGTTGGACAGCTCCTCAATCCTGACTGCAGCTCAGGGTGTACTTTTTAGTGCTTGCCTTCACTGAGACCCATTCAGCAAAGTGTAGTAAGCTGTGTCCTGGGCCAGTCCACAAGTGTTCTTCCTTATGGCTGCACCCTACAGCATGACACAACATTTGCTGCTGGAGATGCCAGGAGAACAGTGCAAGCTGCAGGCTCCCTCGCAGAGATGCAGGACAGGTTGCGTGTCTCGCGCTTCGGTGCGATGTGAGCAAGGCGTAGAGGGCCTGCCATTGGAATAGTCCCAGCAGCAAAACTGTCACCGAACTACAAAATGATATGCTTTGGCAGTGCAACAGGGATGGTATAACAGCAAATTCATGTCAGAGGGATGTGACGGGTGTTAAGGGACTCCCAAGACACTTGAACCAGTTGGGAGGGAGTCTGCTGGAAATGGGCTGTAAGTCAGAAGGCTCCTGGCTCTGGAAATGGCATACCCTCTATGGGCCTCTCTCCTCCTATGTGACTGTAACATATCTGACACTGCTCCCATTGCCTCAAAGGATGTGCTGAAGCTCTTCATCTTCCTTCCCTCCACACAGTCAGGAGCTCGCTGTTGCTAACACGACACACTAATTCCCTGCTGAGGTGAAGCAGTAACAGAGAAGGAACTGGTTACAGGTTGCTTCTTGCAGCTGTCACTCTGCTCCTTTCCTGTAATTGCCCTGCTGCATTTTTGTTCTGCATACTGCCTAATGCAGATATAAAATCCTCCCTTGTTTCCAGATTTGGGTTGGGTGTTAAGAATTTTATCCAAGATGTTAAAGGAGAGGTGGCTATCACATGTTTGTCATCACAACAGCACTGCAGAAACTCTTCTTTTGCTCAGAAAACAGACACCTTTGAATATTAGGCATATGAATAGGTTAGAAGATGCTATTTTATGCTTTTCCAACTTAGGAATGTAAATTTGGTTTGAATTGCATGATTAACACTTAACAGAGGTTTAAAACCTTGTGTTAGTGTTTCTGTAAGTTTTCATAGACCAGTGGTGCACTTTCTATTTTGTTAGTCACATTAAATGCCTAAATACTGCTATGGATCTTGGTCTCTGTGCATGCTGTGTTCATATGGAGACAGTTCTAGAGTAACAGATGTATTAAACGTCTGCCTCTGACCTAACTATAACATGAGAGAGAACCCTATAAAACACCTCTGAAAGAAGTGAAGTCTGGATCTTTCAGTATCCAGACATGTTCCTTTCAGGCCTGAAGTGGAAATGCTAAGGCCACATGTAAAAAGCCAGCTTATCCTCTGATAGCTATGGCTGAGGGTATGAACAAGTTACCATGGGATAAAAGCTAGAAATAGCAGTCACTCTGCAGTGACTGCTTTGTGTGCAAGGTAACCTGAGGTAGCATCTGCCGAAATAAGAGCCTAATGCTCCTATGTGAGACTTAAAAGGGAGGAACAGATGAGCTAGCTCACATACTCATTCTGCCAACAAAAGCTTTTTCTTTGCCATGACCCTAACTCTGACTCATCGCACAATGAGTTTCTTTTTGTATTTCCAGTGTAACTTATCTTTTAAAGAAGCTGCTTAAAAGGAGGAAGAAAAGAAAGGATGGGCTTGTATCCACCTCTAGTATTTTGTTGTGCTCTGTACCAGAGTGAGTCGTGCCTACGTGTGGTGTGGCTCATGTCAGCGCATTTAACTGTTCTAGAGATCTGAACAGGGCAGCTGCTGGTGTGCTCCCCAGAGCAGTGTTTCAGAATAGGTACATGCACAACTCTCATATTTAAATTTTCCATGCTCCCTGCAGAGCACAGGAGTACAAAGCTATGTGGTACCCTCAAGCTATTATGTGGACACAGAGCTGGTCTCTCTTCATTTATAGCTTGGGGTCAGCTGCTGTCAGTGTGAAACAGGTGCCAGAGGTGACGGATCAAGATGCAGAGTGCAATAACCCAAAGGGAGGGATCTGCTGGCCAAGGACAGCCTTGACTTTCTCCACTTTCCTTTCTCAGATGCCTCCACAACCGGCTACTATCATCCAGCAGTTACCTCAGCAGCCCCCACTAATAACGCAGATCCCTCCTCCCCAGCCTTTTGCAGCCCCTCACTCTGGAAGCATCAAGGAAGGTAATGTTTTCTCAGTCTAGCAGCAAGTTTCCATTGCTTGCATCCCAAGAAGGCAAGAAGGGTATTGCTATAAGGGGAGCGATGCATGGGACAGCATCCAGTTTACAAAGTGATGTTTTGTTTTACAGTCAGCCTGCTGTTGGAGCTATGGGAATTGCATTTTGTAGAACTAGATTCTGTTTCTAAGACCTGGAGACATATTGTTTTTGTTAAAATTTTAAAAAAAGAGTATATACAAAACAAATTGTATAGGAGTATGGAGAATTAAAGCATATAAATCCAAAATGCTGAGTAATAGTGACAAGAATGGCAGGTGGAAACTCATACAGATGGTTCCAAAATTACCAAACAGGCTTCTAAAAAATATGTTTCATTCTTTGTTTCCTGTTAGTCTGCTCTATACTCTCCTTTGGAAAAAAAAGAGGCTTTTATTAGGTAAATGAATGGCTTGTGTTTGGAAACAAGACAGAACAGCTGAAGGTGCTCTTCCAAACATTCCTATGCCAACAGAAAGCAGTCTAGTGTATCTACGGATCAGGGAATGTTCCTGTGAAATAAAACATGAACCAAAAACTGGGATGAGTTCCCTTGCTCAGTCTTCAGCCACAGGTTTCTGCATGCTACAAAAAAATCTCTAGTCACTAAACTACAGTAGTTCTTTGATTTCGTCATTTGAGTCTCCAAATTTATTTGAATCAGTTTATTATCATAAATGAACTAGTCCCAATAACACAAGTTTCTTCTGAAGTTGATACATTTACAGTAATCTTGATATGACCAATTAATTAAAAAGACTTGCTTTAACTGTTTTCATCTCAGTTAAATTAGTTCTACTGCATTGTTCCTTCAAGATCAGGGCCCAGACGTGGGGAGTGGATCTGTTTTAAAGTACACATGGCGTGGACTTTGAAGGGGGCCCTGCTGTATCGTGGATAATGGAGGGAATATAATATATAATAAGGGAATATAATAATAAGCATCACTTCCCATATAAGGAAGCTTCCTTATAAGCTTATAAGCTTCCTTATATGGGAAGTGATGCTTATTATTATCGGAAGCGATGCTCTTGAGATGTCCCCCTGGGCTTGGCTCAAGGACTCAGTCCCTGCTGGCCTGAGCTCCACTGGACAACCTTTCCCCACCCTGTGGGTGAGTGTAGCTGGTGGGTGGGAATAGGGGGGAGGTTTACAGTGAAAATAACTGACAGAAGATGCTCAACAACACCTTCACTGTAGAAGGGAGGAGGAAAAGGAGAGCTGGCCTGGGCGATCTGATTCATAGACAGGATTCTGCACTGTCTGGCCAGATAATGCCAATATTCATTTTCAGCAATTTTGTTTGGGCCGTGACCATTCTGTATGCTGGAGGGTTGTTTCTACTGAGGTGCTGTTGCTGTTTGAATGTTTCTGGTAAAGCTCTTACCTTCTTCTTTGGTATGACCTCTCCCTAGATATGGTGGAGATGATGCTAATGCAGAATGCTCAGATGCACCAGATCATCATGCAGAACATGATGCTGAAAGCTCTGCCACCGATGGCATTTGCGCAGGCTGCTGGACCCAGCTCTCTCTTGCTTCAGCAAGCTCAGCAGGTACAGACACAAGGGTTTGCAGAATGTCCTTGCTTTCTTGGGTAGCTTAAATTTTCTTCACGGTGCTGTTCCTTAGAAGCACCTATTCTCTTCCGGCCCAAAAGGGCCAATTCTGATTCTATGCCCAATGCCGCATTGTTGGCTGGCTTGGGTCTCCTGCAGGCCTCATGTGTGGTTCTGTTTAGCACTTTGTGGAGACCTGACAGAAGAATGCTTTGGGCACAAGAGCAAACTGAATAACAAACAGACTATGCGTGGAAGAGATGTATATTGGGCATCTACTGCTGCATCTGCAGCTTTAAGATTCTAAAACCTGCTGATCTCCAGTGAAGCAACATTTAGTATGGTTTTTCCAGGCTCCATCACACCAGTGACTCACCTCTAGTCAAGATATAGCAGCAGGCGTTGGCTTTTGCAGGTGCAAATCCACTTGCTGCAAACAGCAGGGCAATATTTGTGATACAAATCCCATCATTTGTGAAATTTGACCTGACAATCTGAAGTGGGCTAGAGCTGAAGCATGGATATTCTGATTGCACTTGGAGCCTCACAGCACTAGTTACGGTCCCTCTGAAAAATCAATGGGTACCATGTGTCAAAAGGGCAACTTTTAAATATATTTAGGTATCTAAGATATAGAGATTTTCCAAAACACATCAGTGTCTAGTACCTAATAAGAGGTAGACAATTTTGTACATATCCTTAAGGTGTCCAATTTCTAAGCTATTTTTAACAATCCGATATGGATACTTAGCTGCCTTAAATGCTTTGGAAAAATGTATTTCTAATCTCTGCTCTGAAGAGTGTATTATCTAAGAAGCAAGGACAATTCTCTGGGGAGAAGGAGATGCATCTTGTGGTGCAAAGACCTCCCTTATACATTTCACTGCCTTAATATTCAGATTCATTATGACTTTACCCTTTGCTGTAAGAAAGATTTTTTTTGTTGTTGTTGGATATTGAAATCATCAGGTGTTAAGAACGTAACTTGCATCCTTCTGCAGTAGTTGACCAGTTCACCAACACCTTTCCTGCATACTATTTGCAAAAGTATTAAATGACTAACTTAAACAGAAAGCTTTCAGCTTTTTACTGTTAGGAGTAGGAAATATAATAGTCCTCCATACCCCATCATTCAGCCTGGAGGGAGCTGACATTTTTTGCACCTGTTGAGGCTGAATGTCTGCTTTGGACACAAAGCATTTGATAGCAGCTGCCAGCTCTCATGTTTCAGGGCACTGAAATCTCAGAAGCTATCATGAGTTGCAGCCAGCAGGCTACTGTGACACTGGCAGGCTAATTTATTTCCTCGCAGATTTGTTGTGGAGATGGCAGGAGGTGCTGGCATTACCGTGTGTCAGAGCTGGCCTGAGTTATCTCAGACAAAGGAGGCAGATACTTAGGTTACAGAAACCCATCTTACTCACATTAAAAAAGCAGTCATAACCCCCTCTTAAAGAGGGAAGCCATGCTGCTCTCATAACCAATTTTACGAAGAGAAAACTCTCATGTCCCCTGTTCCATCAAACCACTAATTTTTTTCCTATTTTCCTTAAACTTTATCTCTTGATTACTTCTTTAAATATTCTTTCTCTGAGTTTTAAAATAGCAGGCTCTTGATAACAAGCATTTACTGGACCTGTTATACATGAGCCTGTGAAACTGCTCTGGCCACAAGATAAAAAAAAAAAACCCTTTTAGTAAGAGAAGACTGAGCAGAAACACCAGTGCTTGGTCAGAGTTGCTGGCAGTCTCTTGCTGTGGCAGTACAAATAGAACAAGCTGTCATTTGTTCCTCTCCAACAAGGATTCACCGCTTGCTGCTCCTGTGCTTGTGAAAGCAGAAAGGCCCAGGCCGTCCGCCGTGCACCACCACCACCACTACCCTCCCCCGGGAGTGCTGCCCGCCCTGGGCTACTCTGTGTGGCCCCCAGCAGCACAGGCCGGGCTCGTGAGCCAGAGTGGAGGATTCCCATCCATGGTGCATCCCGTGCCTGGAAGCGTGCTCCCTGCTGTGCACACGTGAGTAAAGGGGCTGGCACACAGTGGCGCTTGCTTTAACCCTTCCTCCTGCACATGTGAGGTGTTAGGGTAGAATAGAAAGTCTCACACCGTAAGTTACCCTGGCTTTTCACTAAGACTAGCCTAGAGTATTGTCTTTAACATAAAAATATAAGATTATGGAGACTTAGACAATCATCTGTTAAACTAAATCTTATGTAATAACTTTGCTAAGTAATTAAGGCTCACTTGCTATGAAATAAACATAAGAATGGGACAAGCTCCACAGATGCTACCAGGTAAGAAATAGCAGTCTTATTCCCATTTCCAGCTTGGAGGTGGCTTAGCCATAGCTCAGTAGAGCTGCCTGGCTCCAGTTTGCAGTGGCTGTTCTGCTGGGTTTGTGTACGGTTAGAATCCAGCAGAGACCTAAATAAGAGCTGACTGATCTGCATTCAGACTAACGTTTTCAGTATTATTAATATCCTTAAAATACTGTGGAAGCATTTGCTAATCAAGAGTCAAAAAAGAAAAAAGATTGTCACTAAGCAAATCTGTTTATTTATATATTCTTCCCTCCCTTTAAAGCTGAGCTTCTGGAATGAGGTTGTGTTTGCAGATGGGGTGTGTGTTGTTTGTTTGTTTTTCCAAGTGCAGAAATGGATGGCCTTCTCCCCAGGTTGCCTCCAGGTCTATAGAGTCCTCGAGCCCTCAGGTAAGCAGCCAGCTTCTCCCAGTGCTTGCTTGCCTATGTCTTCCCTGCTGTCTTGGAGCTTTTCTTGGCCTGCTTTCTAGGTGTTGGCAGATCATTCCCAGGGACCAGCTTTCGAAAGAGTGCATTGGCCCCTTTAGCCCCCGTTAGCCAGCCTGCTGCTGTGAATAGCAGTGACAGGAGGAGACATTGGCAAGGATCCAAACAAAGAGAATGTCTTGCCCTATGCATCAGGAAGAGATAGCAAGAAATGAGACACAGTGCTAAGAAGCATTATGTGCTGATGCTGGTAAGGAAATACCATTGATAGTGTTGTCTGGCTGGGGGCAACGCTACTGCTTTTGTCAGAACAGTATTTATTTTTGTGCCACTTCTCTTTCAAAGGCTCGTTAAACAGAAGCATGCATTGGAGGTGGCTGCCTTCTCAGGATCTTCTGACATGGGTATCTCCATGGCCCTCTCTAGCATGGCATGGGATTTGAATTCCTGAACAGATGTTTAGCTAATGGGATTGTAAAGCATGAGCATTCTTACCCCTTTCACTTTTGCATGGATTTGCAATCTGTTCAGGCACACATCTCAGCTGCTTCCAGCATCAGTGCAATTAACAGTCTTTTACCTATTGGCCAAAATCAACAAAGGGAGGTCTAATATTTTAAGCTGCTGTCTTTTTCCTTCTTCACCTACCTTTCATCATGAATTCTGAGCTCTTACATATCTACACTGTCCTTTTGCAGCTGCAATAAGGTTATCTCTGATTACCACCAAACCCAATAAAACTGCTTTTCATGTTACAGGTGGCCTGAATACTGACTGCACACACTTCTCTAAGTCAACCATAGCCTCCCTGAAGTCAGCTTACACTGGAACAGTTCCTATATAGTCTGGCAGCCTAATGTCTTTATAACTGCACATCAGTACAAGAAGTGAGGCAGAATGACTACAGATCTTCAGCTGGACCATGCACCTGCTGTCAGCTCAACAGTTTCACCTGGTTCAGCTGTTTCTTCTCATCTTCCAAGCCCAGAGCAGCAGCAAACGGTCACCACTTTTTCACCCTCTTTCCTGAAACCCAAGAAATTATGTCCCCAAATGTTCTACAGGCTTGACATCCTGCAATAGCCCCAGGGGCATGAAACAAGCTTAACACCACTATTATTTGAACCACCACAAATGAGTATGACCTAGCTCCTGGGATAAGAATCCCCTTCATGTGGGATTCAGGAAAATGTGCTTTACAAAGGAGGCAGCTGCCTGCCTTTGGGGAAAGATAATGCAAATAGAACAAAGGATTTCTCAATAAGGTTTTAGTCATCTAAAGCACTTAATCAGCCTAAAGTATTCTTCTCTCAAGGTTTTTTGTTTTACTCTGAGATATGCTTATTCTATAGTAATTACCTGTCTGGGGAATCAGAAATTAGAGGAGCAAGACAAATGCAAGTTACCTACATAATATATGAAAACATGGGCATTGTATTTTCCTAAAAATTAAGACTCTTCCTAAGCTTTAGGTTTACAAGGCTTGTAGTGTATGGATAAATAATTCTTAGGGGAAGAAAAAGAAACAATCTTTTTTCCCCTCATAGTCAAATGTTTAAAATGCAATCTCTGTAACCATGTTTAACTGCAGTTAATTTTTTCTGCCTCAGGAGGGCTCTGCCTCTCAGTCCTTTAAGTCTTGTACTTAAAACGCTATCCAGGATTTTCTTCTCAGCCACCTATTGGAGATGGATTTAAGCAGTCTGGAATTGCGTATGTGTTTCATTATTCCATAATATTTCCTTCATCCACTCAGGGTTTACATTTGGTCAAAAAAATCCAAGGTTATTCCTTGAATATTAATGTCTCTTTCTTCAGTGATATATTATGAATCAATACCTTTCCCTTTACTTTTATAACTGTTTTTCAGATGGCAGCCTTTAATCTGAGACAGCAATCTCTCTTTTTGCCATCTTTTAGGATTCCTCAGAAAGCTAGGTTTATGGCCTTCAGGGATCATTGTGCTTAATGCAAAAAAATGAGTAATGAGTTGATGACACTTTTAAGTGCCTTGTTATCTTGTTTGTTTTTAAACTGGATTTATCTGATGCATTATCAGGGAATTTATTGATTCAGAATGCTATTGTCATGGTTGATGTACTCCACCAAAATTAAAGAAAAGAAGGGAGGAAATCTTTACACTGGTTTTGCCTGATGAAATGTGTGACCAAGTTTGCTAAAGGAAAGCAAGAGACTTAAATTTTGCTTGGAATGGTTACCCAGTGGAAAAGATACTGCACTGGACATAAATAATCCCCGATTTGTGAAATTTAATCTGTTCTATGAAGAACTATTTTCTGTAGCTCACTTTGGCAGAAATTGGCTGATCTGTATCATCTTGGAAGAAAAACTTTCAGACTGTAGCAGTGGTCAGAGTCTCCACTGCAGGTGGCGTGTCTTGTTCAGGGTTGGGGAAGCATCCCTAAAACTATGCATGCTTGAAAACGTATTTTCAGATCAGAAGTTGGATGTTTCCATCTGCATTTCCAGAGAGATACTTTATAAACTGAGCAAAGGAGAGAAACTTCACCCATGGTGTTTTACTTGTTCTCTATCCTGAATCTTGTTACTAGTTTAGGTAAAATTTTAGCATCTTAAAGCACTAGCAATCTCGCAGGATATTCTGCTCTGGATGGATGCTGGCAGCCCCACAGAGATTAAAGAGCCATAGAGAACCAGGCTCTGCTAATAATGCAGTCTCTGGCATTTTACAGAAATGTTTTCCAAAGCAGCAAAGTTAGGCCTGACGTTTCTTCAAGGGACCTTTATTTCTTTCTGACCTCCTATTTAAGTGGGTCATTAAATGTGAAATAATCCTTAAATGCTGGATAAGCACGGCCTGGGCTCTGCAGTGCCTGTGCCTGGAGCGTGTGGGGAGCAGCGGCACATGGGCCCTGCCAGCCCTGGCTAAGGCAGGGGCTTGCACTAAAGCTCCCAAGCAGCCAAAGCGATGCCTCCTCTACGGGCAGCATGTACGTGCACCCGCCATCCTTGCTTTTCTTCCAATCCACCTACCTGCTTCTGTGTCCGTGAGGGTCTGTTCTGCCTTAAATAGTAACAAGTTCTGCCCTTGGCATCCCATCAACCTGTGTGTTTGGGTGCCTCAAACCAGATTGCTTCCCCCCGCCCCCCTGCCAAAAAAAATATATATATATATATACACATATATATATATACGTGGAAAGATTACCAAGGTCATTGAATCATAGCTGAGGTTGCTTGTGCCAATCTAACCCAGCCATTCAAAGAAGACTATTATAAGACCAACTTTAATTACATGATGGTATACTGTGTTACCCATAGGAGATTGTGAATTAATTAGCATATCTTAAAGCATGGTTCTTAAATTAGTAAGCCACAGTGCTGCAGTAATCTGTAAAGCCTGCAGCACAGACATCCAGAGAGTGTTGGGAGGGAAATTTCCAAATAATAACTGGCACTGCTGGAAGCTAATGCTTTGCTGACGGTGCGCCGAAAACAATTTGGAAATAATTTTACTGCTAATTACCATGTAAACCTTACTTTGCTCCCTGGCTTCCCCTCTTCTGCTTTCTGTGCCCCTTTGCTTGATGCAGGCTTTGTGGGTGGGATGCGAAGAAATGGGCCTGAATACCAAACAGGGCAATTGAGGCTGGGCAGGCATGCTTCCCAACCTATGGATAACAGCACGCTAAAATGGAGCCTCTGGAGAGCGCATGAAATCTGCATCCTGGGAGGACTCTTGGAACAATTCAGACAGGTATATAGGTATTATGTAAAGAGAGCTGATCCTGCCTTTGGGCAGACTTTTTAGTTTTGTTTTTATTTGCTGTAGATATGTTAGCCGATCAGATAGCATAAATCAATTCACTGTTATGTAGATCAAGGAAAACTACTGGAGCATTCTCAGTGGTGACTTACTTAAAGGAAATGTCAGGGCCCTACCTGCACTAAAAGGTTTTAATTGCCTTGATCACCCTCACCTATGGCCGTGCCATGCCCATGGGTCCAGGAGCACCATTTAAGCTCAGCCCTGGGCCTTTAGTCCTTGCCTGAGCTGTGTTGCAGGTATCCTTGTGTCCTGCATGGTTGCAGTTATATCTCTGCCTTGGTGTGGAGCTTGCAGGTCCAGACCCGAACCTGTGGACTGACTCCATGGCCTCATCTTGAACCTGCCTTCTCCTTACGGACCTGCCTGGTTTATTGGCCTGTGTCTGACCCTAGTTACCTCCACTAAGCCTGAGCAACTCTGCTCCAGGCTGTATGTTGCAGGGTTTGCAATGAGTGGTGGGTAG